TGTGACATCACTCAGTGATGCTATATATTTACGTCTTAGCTATGTCCTGAAAGGGTTGCTCTTGTATTGAGACACAATAGCAGAGAGAACCAAGCCATTGTATTTTCTCTGTCACATTCCCCCCTCCCAGAAATGTCCCAGAATTCCTACTGTGGAAACACAGCTATTGTGTTGAAGACACCCAGCCTGCTTCCTGTCACCAAGAGGACTCCACCTGATGTAAAGGACTAATGGGTCAAGGACTTGGCCTTGGGTCGTGGTCAAGGAGCACCACAGGGAACTGTGCTCGCCCCTTTCCTGTTCACCGTGTCACCGTGTACATCACTAACTTTCACTACAACTCTGGGTCTACTCTACTGCTCTGGGCCATCCCAAAACACGAAATGTTGACTTTCTGCACTATTTAGCCTTTTTAGAGCTTTATTGTTTTTAATTGGTTAATGATTGCATTACAGATAGCAGCTAAATTAGATTGTTTTTCAGTTTTCTTTTTTGACTGAATGGTTGCTGCTTTGTGCTTTGTCAGTCATCCTGGACATGATCATCTTGAGACATTTAATTGAAAAAAACTTTTCTGGTTATCTTGAAGACGTTTCGTCTCTCGTCTGAGAGAATTCTTTAGTTTTAAAACTTGGTTTGTGAGTAGGAGGCTTAGACCACTCATTGTGCTGCAACTTTATTAGTATTTTTTTTCTTGAAAAAGTAAGTAAAAACACGTCTTTGTCTAAATTAAAGTGATGTTTTGGTTCCTTTTTTCTCCAGAGCATGTAAACAGTAGCAGTCATCGTAAGTACATAGAAACATTTCACAGCCAATCCATGTGATTGGTATCAGTGATCGGCAGCAAAAACCTGATCTATGCTTCCCTAGTTAGGACTCAGCTACATGTCTTAAATGTCACACAGACCTTTTTTAAAATAATACAGTATATTTAGAATCTACAATAGTTGAATTATTAAAACAATGTCAATTCCAGTAGTGGGCTGTATCATATCATTCATAATAATAATACTGTTAATTTCTCTGTAAATGAAAAATGGCCCGTATTTGTATAGTAGTTTCTTAGGGTTCTACAACCCCCCCAAGGCTCTTGACAACACAATCAGTCACACGCTGGTAGCAGAGGGCAATATTTTCATTTCTAGCCCTTCACAAATTGATGATTTAGTTCATAATGTTACTTCTTCTTTACATGTGGCATTAGATGATGTTGCCCCCTTAAAAAAGAAGGTAATTAGGGACAGGAAGTTGGCTCCCTGGTTTAATTCTGATTTACGAACTTTAAAACAAAACTCTAGAAAATTGGAGAGAACATGGCGCTCTACACACCAGGAGGAGTTCTACTTATCCTGGAAAAATAGTCTTGTGCTTTATAAAAATAAGCTTTGACAAGCTAGAACTGCTTATTCATCGCTAATTGTGGAGAATAAGAATAATCCAAAATTTCTTTTCAGTACAGTTGCCAAACTTACACAGAATCATAGCTCCGAACCACCTATTCCCTTAGCCCTCAGCAGCAACGACTTTATGGGATTTTTCACAAGTAAAATTAATTCTATTAGAAACAAAATCATTAGAGGCTGTGCAGTGGTGCAGTGGTTAGAGCTGTTGCCTTGCAGCTGGGTTTGCTTCCTGGCCTGGGATCTTTCTGCATGGAGTTTGCATGTTCTCCCTGTGCATGCGTGGGTTCTCTCCGGGTACTCCGGCTTCCTCCCACTGTCCAAAAACATGACTGTTAGGTTGATTGGTCTGTCTAAATGGTCCTTAGGTGTGTGTGTGTGTGATTGTTTGTCCTGTGTGTCTCTGTGTTGCCCTGCGATGGACTGGCTCTCTGTCCAGGGTGTACCCCGCCTAATTGCCCGTTGACTGCTGGAGATAGGCACCACCCCCCCCCCCCCCCCCCACCACCACCACCACCCCCCGCGACCCTACCTGGACAAGCGGGTTCAGAAGATGGATGGATGGATGGACAAAATCATTAGCATCCTCCCTAATGCAATTTCTTCTTCCTCAGTAAGTGAGGCAGCATCTGAGGTAGCTGTAGAACCTCATCTGTGCTTGAACCGTTTTGATCCAGTTGAGCTTTCAGAGTTATCAAAAATATTAGCTTCATCTAAACCTTCAACTTGCATTTTGGATCCAATCCCAACCAAATTATTTAAAGAAGCATTTCCTTTGGTTACTGCCCCCATTCTAGATATAATCAATCTATCCTAAGTAAATGGGTATGTACCACAGGATTTTAAGGTTGCTGTAATCAAACCTTCACGTAAGAAGCCTTCTCTGGATCCAGATGACCCAATGAATTTTAGACCAATATCTAACATTCCATTTTTATCCAAAGTCCTTGACAAAATAGTGGCCATCCAAGTATGTGAGCATTTAAACACTAATGATCTATTTGAGGAATTTCAGTCTGGTTTTAGAGAGTATCACAGCACTGAAACTGCTTTAGTGAGAGTTATAAATGATATTCTTATGGCCTCAGATAAGAATCTTGTGTCTGTTCTAGTCTTGTTAGATCTCAGTGCTGCCTTTGACACAGTTGATCACAATGTTCTTTTAGAAAGACTTGAACATGTTGTAGGGATCAAAGGAGCAGCGTTAGGCTGGTTTAAATCCTACCTGTCTGATAGATTTAATTTTGTAAATGTACATGACAAATCTTCTTCATACTCCAGGGTTACTTGTGGAGTACCACAGGGTTCAGTGCCTGGAACAATTCTTTTTACTATATATATGCTTCCAATTGATAAAATCATTAGACAGCATGGGGTAAACTTCCACTGTTATGCTGACGATACTCAGTTATATTTATCCATTAACCCTGATGAACCTAATCGGTTAGGTAGATTACAGGCTTGTCTTGAGGACATAAAAAATTGGATGACTCTAAACTTTTTGCTTTTAAATCAAGATAAGACTGAAGTTCTCATCTTTGGATCTGAAATTCAGAAAAGGAAATTGCTTAGTCAACCACCTGACCTGAATGGTATTAAAATAGTCTCCGAGAACAAAGTAAGGAACCTTGGTGTTATCCTTGACCAGGACATGTCATTCAAATCCCAAGTTAAACAGGTTTGTAGGCTTTCCTTTTTCCACCTTAGGAATATTGCTAATTCAATTCAAGTTAATTTATATAGTGCCAAATCCTTTCCAGGAAAAACTAGTTCATGCATTTATTACATCAAGACTGAATTACTGTAATTCATTACCCTCAGGAAGTCCACAGAATGTAGTTAAAATTCTTCAGCTTGTCCAAAATGCTGCAGCTAGAGTTCTGATGAGAATTAAAAAGAGAGATCATATCTCTCCAGTCTTAGCTTCCCTACATTGGCTGCCTGTTAAATTCAGAATAGATTTTAAGATCCTCCTTCTCACATATAAAGCTCTTAATAATCAAGCACCATCATACATCAGTGACCTGATTATTCCATATGTTCTTAACCGAGCACTTCGCTCTCAGACTGCAGGTTTACTGGTGGTTCCCAGAATATCTAAAAATAGGATGGGAGGCAGATCTTTTAGTTATCAGGCTCCTCTCTTGTGGAACCAACTCCCAGCCTTAGTCCGTGAGGCAGACACTTTGTCTACTTTTAAGAATAGGCTTAAAACATTTTTATTTGATAGGGCCTATGGTTAAAATCTGATGTTAGCCCCGATCTGGACAAGTGGGGGAGTAGAGGGAGGTGGAGTGTACAGTCGGTAAAGACGGCTCTCCCTTGCCCTGCCTCCAACATGCCTCCATCTAAAAGGCTAGGTTATCCAGAGTTATCTCTGTAGTTATGCTGCTATAGGCTTAGACTGCTGGAGGACAAACTGACCACCTTCCACACTCGACTACTTTCTTCTACAATCTGCTCATTATTTCAGCTGTTAACTATATTTTTTCTCTAAGTGTTTTTCTCCTCAGAAGAAGCTACAATGATGTTCTGCTGAGCTGTGGTGGCCTCATGGAGGGGGCCATCTTCTAGCACACTGCTGCTAACCACTTAAACATTCTCCCTCTCCTGATAATAACTTTTTACTCTCTTTGACATTGAATGTGCTACTACTAGTTTACTCTTTAATTATAGATTCACTAGGATAAATACAATAAAGTTTATCTCTCACCAAATAGAATATTTACTAAGAAATCACAATTAAACCATAGAAACATTACTTGGTGTGTGTGTGTGTGTGTGTGTGTGTGTGTGTGTGTGTGTGTGTGTGTGTGTGTGTGTGTGTGTGTGTGTGTGTGTGTGTGTGTGTGTGTTTTCCACTTCAAACACTGGTCTAACCAATCAGACCAGCGTGTCCACTAGTCAGTGACTTGATGCAATTTGCTGGGTTCCTTATATAGGAAACTTGTTACTGACTGGCTTAATGACCTGACCTGTATTGGAATGTTTACTGTGTGAAGGTCCTTGAAACGACTCTTGTCGTGATTTGGCGCTTTATAAATTAGCTTGAATTGAATTGAATAGGGTAATATAATATAATATAATATAATATAATATAGTGTAATATAATATAATATAATATAATAGACAACACCTTTATTGTCCCTCAGTGAAGAAATTTTAGTGTAACAGCAAATACGATTCACAAGAAAAAAGAATGAAAAGCTTTTCAGTGATATATGTAGATTTGTATATAAATATGCTCAATAATGGCTTATCAGGTATTCTGATATTGTAGCTGTCAGTTTTTGTTTATTTCAAAACACTTTGAAGAATTTCCAGCCGGGGGCACTGTTGCCTAATCAGTAGCTGACTGATTCCGTGTGAAACCAGAAGTTGCTTATTAGTTCAGAGGAAACACAGCTGTGTTGGTATAGCAAAACTTTCTGCAAGGAAACACACCTTGGCTGAGCTAGGAGATGGAACGTTGCCTCAAACAAACCATCAGAATGGAGGTACATGTTTAAGAAATGTTTGGACATAAATATTGAGTTTATTTTGACTGTGCACTGATGTATGTTGGTTGGTTTATGTGCCCAGCCGGAGATTCTGTATTACCTGACACAGCGTTCCAACAGGATAGGAAATTTGCAGCCACTGGGAAAGCGGAGGGAGGTACATGATTTACTGCTCCTGTGACAAAGATGTGTGGTTTTATTTGGGTTGCTTTTACCACTGATGTCCACTTAACTATTTATACAGTTTTCACGGTCTGATGGTCGACCTCATCACCAGAAGTAATTTCAAACGAACAGAAATAAAACCTCCGCACCAGTCGAGGCTCTTTCTCATCGCTTTTTCCTTCCTTCAATCCTGGGAATGCTACAGATATTGTCTGACTCTTAATTTCCGATACCGATATGATATGCGCCGTGTCTCCCTCTCTATGGGGTTGGGGGGGGCTGAAGAAAGAGGTTGGATCTTTGAATTTGTTTATTTTCAAAATGTAGCTTGTTTGAACTGCTTCATCCAGGAACAAATATGGCTCGTTTAATAGATTTTAAATATGATTGCAGAAATTTTCCGTTCTTATTAGATCTTGAAAAAGGCATCTACCCATTTTCACGGTGGATTGCACCAACAGGTGGTCCCCTACAGCCCCCCAGAGCTCCTGAAACTATAAACCCCTATAGCTAGAGACAACATTAAGGTGGACACGTCCTACAGATGAAGACCACCTAAAGGGGGACACCTTCTAAAGCTGGACATCTACAGATGGAGGCTACCTAACAGTGGTGCCCCTAGATCATTTTGATAGGGGTGGTCAGATGGGGCCAGATTGTGGGTGAGGTAACTCTGGGAGAGTTTAGCCTGTGGAGATGCGCTGCATGCTCCTTTGTTCTTTTTCATAAAAAAGAAAAACAATATGCATCCAATCCACTTACCTCAAATTTGAAGAACACTTTATTTTAGAAAAAGAAATTTCAGTTTTTTAGATTTTTTTTTAATTTATTGTAGAATTTTCTTCAAAACCCACAAAAACTATAGATTTAAACTTGTGTTTTGAAAATGGTGAGCAGAATAAACATACTTGGCCACCCCGTGGGGGCGCCACTGAGGTGAACACCTACTCCTCCAGATGTTCAGAACCTTTGCTGCTGTCTACTGATGTTCCTCTGGAGAATCTCTTTACCCTGTGATGTCTCAGACCAGTCCTGGTCCCTCCTGACCAGTATAAGTGGTAGATATTGAGAGGATGTGAAGGAGAACCTAAAAGTTCTGAGCAGCACAAGCATGACGTTCTTCTAGAGACAGGGAGCTTTTTGATTCCAGATGTTGGACCACATTAAGACAAGTTCTTGTTATCCTGGTCCACGTGAGAGTTCTGAACCAGATCCAGATTTATAATTGGAGAACTGGTTGAGAGAACTCAGGCCTTGGATTGGTCCTGGTGTGTTTTAAGCTGGGCCACAGCAGAATCGCAGGAGAGGAACCAGACCGCTCTGCTCACCACACACCCCACACGAACATCGTGTTCTCCTGTAAAACTATCATAAGCAGTGGTTCGGAAATGAATCCGAATCAGAACCAGCCCCTCACCTGTTCTCTGGGCCACCGACCGGAACCCCGCCGCCAGCCCCAGAAGCACCCCCGCGAAGCACATCTGGAAGGCAAACAGCTCCTGTCGCCTCCTCCGGCGGGGCAGCATCACTTCTGCTCCGGCGGCCGTGCCCCGCTGCCCGTTCACCTCCACGCGGGCCATGATGCTCCTCTGTCGGCGAGCAATCCGACGGAACCCGCGGTGGTGGAGCAGAGGTAGAGGTAGGCGGAGCGGGTCCGTCCGTGCGGCCGGCGACTGAAGTTACCGGATGGGAGACAATCCGCCTGGAAGAGGATGGATCCGGAAATACCGCGCCGTAGGAAAAACTGCTTCCGGTCCCACCTTTCAAAATAAAGAAAATGTTCTCGCTTATTTTTTTTTACATAAATGATGTTGAGAAGAGCTGAGATATTCTTAGCTGAACTGTCAGGATCAGCTGAAAATTTAGTCTATTGAAAACAGAGCCTTCCATTAGTAGTTTTAAACAACACAAAGCAGTGGTTCTCAATCTGGGGTCCGTGCTGGGGTTCTGATGTTACAAAAATCATATTCATAAATATTACATTTATAATTTTATGTTTTTTCTCAGCATGGTGGCTGGGCTCGCCTTTAGAGATAGGATTATAAGCTCGGTCCTCCGGGAGGGGCTTGGAGTAGACCCGCTGCTGCTCTACGATGAGAGGAGCCAATTGAGGTGGCTTGGGCATCTGGTTAAGATGCCTCCTGGATGCCTCCCTGGTGAGGTTTTCTGGGCACGTCCAACTGGGAGGTGACCCAAGGCAAGACCCAGGACACGCTGCAGGACTATGTCTCACAGCTGGCCAGGGAACACCTTAGGAATTCCCCTGGAAGAGCTGGCCCAAGTAGCTGGTGAGAGGGAAGTCTGGGCCTACCTGCATGCTGCTGCCCCAGCGACTCGATCCCAGATAAGCAGCTGAAAATGGATGGATGGGTGGACATTTATAAAATCCCAATAACAATAAGAAACTCTGAATAAAAGTTATATTACGTTTTTAATTAGTCATTTTTAATGTTTGCATGTGGGTGTGGTTGGGGGTCCTGGCTTTTATTGGACACATGCAAGAGGGTTCTCAAGGAAATACGGTTCAAAACCACTGACTTAAAGGTTAATTGAAGGCAAATTAAAGGCTGTAAAAATCTTTTAATATGGTGCATTCCAGCTAACATGTTTAAAATATATTTTTAAATGAGAAAGAAGGAAACAAAAAGGAGGCGATGCAGAAAGGCTAATCCTATAAAAATGTCTGAGATAGCATTATTTTTTTTATTCAATCTTACATTCAGCACATCTACAACAATCTGAGCTGCAACAGAACAATTATTTATTCTCCATTTGGACTGTAATTTAATGGATGGTGTCAGTAATCTACTGGATTATAAACACTTAACAAATATGAGTTCAACCCTCTTATCAGACTTTTAAAAGTTGCAAAATACATATAAAAGTCTAAAAATGAGATTATGATGCAAAATTTTATTGTATTAATTCAACTTAGATTGAGAGACCATCTGAGCTCATGAATGCTCTGCAGGTGTTCTGGATTCATCAGAGTGACACTTTGAGGCTAGAATATTGAACCTGTTCACAATAGATGTCTGAGATTCTGAATATGGGCTTTTCATCAGCTTGTGAGATCTTGCTTTTTTCATCTACGCCGCATTGCGAAAATTAAGCCATTTCTGTCCCATAATCATTTGGAAACTGTAATCCATGCCTTTATTACCTGCAGGCTGGATTACTGTAATTCGCTATATGCGGGGCTTAGACAAGCTCCAGTAGCACGCCTCCAGGCGGTTCAGAACTCTGCAGCCCGGTTGTTAACATCTACCAGGAGGTCTGAACATATAACACCAGTCCTACGTGCCTTGCATTGGCTCCCTGTTTTTTATCGCATCAGGTTTAAGGTCCTCCTGTTTGTGTTCAAGGCGTTAAACACAGGGGCACCTAAATATCTTTCCGATGTCATCCACCAGCATGTCCCGGTGCGTTCCCTTAGGTCAGCTGACCAGAGATTACTAACTGTGCCTAGGTACAGCCTGAAGTCTCGTGGTAGTCGAGCTTTTTCAGTACTTGGACCAAGTCTCTGGAATGAGCTGCCAGCCGATGTAAAACAGACCAAGTCATTAGAAACCTTTAAAGGAAGACTGAAAACACATCTGTTCTCGCTGGCTTTTGGACGTTGAAGTTGGGGGAAGTAGGCCGGATATGGACTGTGAACTGGCACTCAGGTTTTTGTACTGTATTTTAAAATGGATTTCTTATTGTATTTTTATAGGATTTATTACGGTATTTTACAGGGATTTTTTAGTGTATTTTAATGGGCATTTTATTGATGTACAGCGCTTTGTTTGTCCATTCTGGCCATGTGAAAGCGCTCTATAAATAAAGTTGATTTGATTTGATTTGATATAAGCCAAAATCCTCACAATTATCACAAAAATGGCTGAAATACCTGGGTTTGCTTGCATGAATGTCTCATAAATTAGTATCACCTTTAAATTGAATTAGAGGCATAAATAAACATTAGCAACATATTCAAATGTTCCAGTTTCATCTGTACTTTCCCACAAGAATGTGTTTTTGTCTATAAACATTAGATCCCACCAGACAATGCAACCACATCTGCTTTCTTTGTCATTTAAGTGTTTTTTGAAATTTAAATAAAATGGTAAATGGCCTTTATTTGATATAGCACATTCTAGAGTCCTGGAACCCCCCAAGGTGCTTTACAACTCAATCAGTCATTCACACATTCACACACACATTCACACGCTGATGGGGGTGAACTACGGTGTAGCCACAGCTGCCCTGGGGCACACTGACAGAGGCGAGGCTGCCGAGCGTTGGCGCCACCGGTCACTCTGACCACCACCAGCAGGCAAGTCGGGTTGAGTGTCGTGCCCAAGGACACAACGACAGCGACAGATTGAGCAGGGCTCGAACCTGCAACCTTCCGATTACGGGTGAGCGCTTGACTCCTGTGCCACCGTCGCACCAAAATAAACTACAATAAGCTAGGATACCAGGATAAGCGGCTGTAAATGGATGGATGGATGGATGGATAGATGATTCTATTGTGATTCAATTTAGTTCTTGGTCAACAAAAAAAATTACATTTTAAATACATTTTAAAGGGACTAGGAAGTTTGAAGTGTTTATGACCGCGATCGCCACTCAGGCCTAACGCGTAACTGCAGCTTCAAAAGTAAGTTCGTGCATGAGGCGCGCATGCTGTACGTGCACACTCCTTAACCAAAATAACAGCTGAGACAGTCCAGTGTGTGTGTGTGTGTGGCCCGGAGGACAGAAGAACACAGCAAATTAATAAAAATAATGTGTCTCTGTCCCTGCAGCAGCACTTTCTCGTCGGCCGGCCGAACATGCAGTGTGTGTGTGTGTTTGTGTGTGTGTGTGTGTGTGTGGCCTGGAGGACAGAGGACAAGAGAACACGCAGCTAATTAATTAAATAATGTGGTTCTGTACCTTTCTCTTCAGCACAGCCGACAAAGATTTATGATGGGTCAGTCCTCCTGCATGCTCAGATCATTCCCTTCCCTTGCTTGAAAAAAAGTTCCAAAATGAAAGTTGAACCCACATCTTTTTATCTGTGAATTCAATGCCGTTCGGCGAGTCTCAAGTAAAAATTTGGGCATCTTACTGTAAAAAAATTATCATTAATGTAATAAAGAAACTCAAAATGACAAATTATGTTCACACCTGGAGTTGAACCCAGGTCTTCTGCATGAAAATCATACATCTTACTAGGTGAACTAAAGCACCAGTGACTTTGAATCTATCTGTAACGTTTATATTCTTGATGAGAGGCTGAAACAATGTCAATCCAAAGAATGGTTCGGAGCGAAAATGGCTATTTTGTTGCTCATTTGCAGGAAATATCTAGAAGAAAGTTCTACAGAAAGTAGCTAAGGGTTGTAATGAAATGGATTATTACAGTTTAATTAATGACCATAGACATTAAAGATCCATATCGAGTATGAATCCCATCTAATGGACACTGGGTTATTTAAACCACAAGATTGGATCTTTTTATTGCAGGGATTAGATAACCGTTACTTATTCACTAAGAGACAACAGAATAGAGAGAGTCAAGTTTAAAAGTTACGAATTTTATTACAAATTAAACTAGACTGACTTTTTAAACGAAATATATGGTGTAACTAAAAATGGATGAGACGTTGGATGGATGACGTGTGATGTTAAATCAAAACCATCAAATCCGAAGAAGCGATTAGTTCTGACGGGAACTGAAGCTGTTGTTTTGCATTAAGCTTTGATTAGCTTCAGAAATACATGAGACACCATTTGCCGGCCTACCTTGCCTTCGGTGGAAGTCCTCCGTAGATCAGGAATATCGAGGTCCAGTGAACCCTCTCTGGAACCGAGCCGGTAGGAGCAGCCGCGGTTCCGATTAAACCCGTCTTGAGTTACTTCCGGCACACGACACGTTTATTGGCGTCTGGTCAGACCCAAGCCTGGGTCTGTGGATGGTTGAGCTTTTGTTCTGAAAGGATCAGGATTGGCCACTCCGTCACTTTCTCTGGAACGCTTTGAACTGGTGTTAGAGCTGACGTGGCGTAGTTTTTATACCTCGGATGTTATGGTTTATTGTCGAATGAAAAATTACCAAACACCATCAGAAGCATGCCTCTGTCAGATCTGTAAGATTCTGATTGGATCAGTGAAAGGAATGTGTCATGTCTTTTTAACACTTGGTGAAATGAATCCTGTTGGAACGCTTAAAGTCACAGTACTTATTATATTCTATAGGATCATAATAGAGTAATTAATATTTTGATTTCACAGGTTGGTCACATCTTATTTACTGACTAACACTTTAATAGATTAGCTTTATTAAAATAGAGTTCTTTGATTAATTAAAAGAAAAGAGTTCATTCTTCATTCTTCTGTTGAGCTGAAAAAAAAGCAGGTTAGAAGGAATACATGAGACCTTGAGACTTTTTCTCATGCAGGCTAGTCTTGAGCAAAGAAGGGAAAAATAAGAGGCATTCCGTTCCGTTACAGGGTCCTCAGAAATGTAGCTAGGTTCATCACTAGGCGTTAGGAACCGCGACAAAGTTGCTGACTTGGCACTACCTCACTCTCTGCTGCTAAAGCTACTGATAGCAAACGCTACGGGCTATGCCTGAGCGTGAACGCGCATGAAGCAGCCTGCTCGACCCGAGCATCTCTTTCTTGACGCGATACGATGTTGGTAGGACCCAAAATGCAGTTACCCAGGATGACATGAGGCAGGGATGAAGATGAA